GTGCACCCCTGGACCTCAACCGCAAGGATCCGATCGCAGTGTGCACCGCTGGAAAGGATCCGATCGCAGTGTGCACCGCTGGACCTCAACCAGATAGTTTGCCAGATAAAATGCCAGATAGAATGCCACATAGATTGCCAGATAGAATGCTGCAAGAAGATATGCCAGATAGTATGCCAAATAGTGTATCAGATAGATTGCTAGATACATTGCCAGAAAATATGCCAGATAGAATGCCAGATAAAATGCCAAGATAGAATGCCAGAAGATATGCCAGATAGAATGACAGATAGTATGCAAAACAAAGTGCCAAATAGTATGCCAGACTGTATGCCAGATAGTATGTCAGATTGCCAGATAGAATGGCAGATAACCACAAAGACACAACCACAAACATAACAACAAACGCACACCCACAATCACACAACAATAGACACACAACCACAAACACACAACCACAAACACACAACCACAACAACACAACCACAAAGACACAACCACACACACAACCACAAACACACAGCCGCAAACACACAACCACAAACACAACCAGAAACACACAACCACAAATACACAATCACAAGCGCAATCACAACCACAACCACAACACACAACCACAAACACAATCACAAACACAACCACAAACACAACCACATACACACAACCACATACACACAACCACATACACACAACCACAAACATAACAACAAACACACAACCACAAAGACACAACAATAAACACACAACCACAAACACAACCACAAACACACAACTACAAACACAACCACAAACACCTCCACAAACACACAACCACAAACACACAACCACAAACACAACCACAAACACACAACCACAACACACAAACACAAACACAACCACAATCACGCAATCACAAACACAACCACAACCACAACACAGCACACAACCACAACCACAACACACAACCGCAGCACACAACCCGAGGACCCACAAGCAAAATCGAGAACTACAATACTCACGACCATGGCAACATGCTCCTCACTATGGCATCAAGTCAAATGATTGAAATGTCATGGTGGGGATCACTCGAAGTAAAGTAATTAATTGATTAATTTTTATTAGCACGTGGCCCTGACTCTGTACTGAATTAATTAGGCGCCCGCCGACTTAATTAAGTAAGGGCTAACTTATAGTTCCTGGCCACTGGACGCAGGAAGCTGACACTTCTATTCATTTGGTTCCTATATTTTTTGGAAGACTCAACAAGTGCATTGGTATACCTTGAGCTTACCTATACTTTGGATTGTCAGCGGACCCCTCAGGGTTCAGCCGAGCCCAGGTGAGACCCTCGGCATTCTGATCCTCAGTGATTGCATTGCTACGGCAAATGAGAGAGCGGCCGCGCGTCTCGGGCAGCTTCTGTGACTTGGCCACATGTCCTCGAGGATTTTGACAGGAGGATTTTTGGCACGGAGTCTATATCTGTATTATATGGGGAGTTGTAGTCGTGATTTTGTGCGCATGCTCCCTCCTTACAGTGAGAGCATTGACTTCCGGGATTTTTCAAGTCCAGGTATTCAGTCAAGCGGTGGGGGGGTTCATTTACAAATCTCTTTGCTGTTCCCAGTTGCTGCGCAGAATGTCCCCCTGTTCTCAAGGGACTTGCATCGGACGGATCAGGGGGACGTGTAATGGTGTCATGATTTGTCTAAAAAGAGGTCAAGTAAGTATGGTCAAGTTTTACCATAGTTAATGGCAACGGAGAATTTACAAGACTTCGAAAGCTACTAGGAACAAAGGGCATCGCTACTAGGAGCAAGGATGCTACTAGGGGCTCCTGGCCGTACTACTAGGAGCAAGAAGCCACTACATTACGAAGACTTTGGTCCTCTTAGAGACTGACGCGCCAACTGGTCCAGAGGACTCCGGTGCAGCGGCGCATCGTTCAGCTGGGCGTCTTGGGCACCAAGTTCGACAGCGCTTTGGGCGCCGCCGTGGCCTCCGCCGGCCACGGCCGTGCCTCCTGCGGATGTTATCTCTCTTTTTTGGGGGGGGAAGGAGGAGGAGCACGGGGGAAAGCACAGCAGCGAATCAACAGCTGCTGGGATATATGATCTGATATATGACATCTATGGCCACAGATATGATCTTGATGTAGCTTCGTTTGGGTATGCTTGGATTTGTGTGATCTTGACTCAGTCCTCCACCGATTGTTTGTGATTAAAGGCAATGACATTCCTTTCCTCAGACGGTTGTATGTTCCTATTCACTGACGATTGAATTTTTGCCATAGTGTCAGTTATTTGGTTGGTGAGTGTTTACGGAACCGCTTCGCGGTCCATCCCGCCCGCACAAGAGTAAAGGGAAAACATACACACACATACAGACATAGACATACATCATACATCCATGCATACAGACAGACAGACAGACAGACAGACATACATGCAGACATTTGTTTGTCTCGGTCTGTCTGGCTCGGTCTGTCTGTCTCGGTCTCGGTCTGTCTCGGTCTCGGTCTCGGTCTGTCTCGGTCTCGGTCGGGCAGGACACACGGACGAACACACTCACGATGTCAATAATGCAGTGTCCCACGGGTTGCATATGCGTCCGCGTTGTCGATAATGCGATGTCCCACAGGCATATAACCGGCATCGCTAACGTTTGATCCAAATTTATCAATCTTCAACAAGCACCGTAAAGCACAGCAGTTTGTAACTCCGATGAGGGCCCCCGCCCCAAGCTAAAGCTTAAGATTTAAACTAGCAGACTTCTTGCGATTGGCGCGAGCCGCTACAATGCCCTCGGCACCTTCGGTGCGGGCGCATTAATATTCATTGAGAGATTCTTTGGAGACTCCAGGGCCTGACGTGTAAGCATGTAGCCAAGACCAGGCTTGGACAAACCATTGACCCTAGCTACTGAGGATCCACTGAACTCACCTCTTCCGGTTGTGACTCATTTTGTCCTTCATTGGCTATAGGTAGGTTGGCTAGGTCAGAATTCCATGTTCGCTAAATTTCACTATTTTCATTCTACCAAGTACATTCTGTAAATTTCTGTAGCAGATGTATCCCAACTCTCCAATCCGGTGCGCTTTGTTGCCGGACCGAGGTATCGTTCATCTCCCCCTGACCTCCAAAGACCTTCCTTCGGTGGTCTCTGCCGCCTGGAATGAAATCCAGAAGCCCTTGGGCCTCCATGGCCGTGTCACGGCTGATTCTTCAGGGTCGTGGCAGTGGCCCCAAAGCGCCTTCGATCTACATGACGCTGGGGCGAAGGAATCAGGAATTGGTTGACGGTTGACGTGTTTTGGTCGCTGAGGTTCGTGAAGGTGTTTTTGGGTGCAGGAATGGATGTCAGCAATCCCAATTGCAAATAAAATTAAGGACCGTAGACTGTAGAGACTGTAGAGGTAGAAAACATTTTGACAGATGATCCAAATTTCCAAATCTGGACCTCGGCGTTATTTTGGCTCCCAATATGACATTCCCAACCTCACTGAGAAACTTCTTGAGCCAGGCTGCACCAGTATCCCGCCAATATGTAGCAGACTAGCATGATAGTCTGTGCAAGTCTTTTTGAAGACCGTGTCTTCCAAGACCTCTGACTCTCCCGAAAACCATCACCAGATCAGAGGTGATGCAATGTTTGACATCCGGCCCATTGAACGCTTTTAAGGACGGGGATGAGCTGGTGGTCTTCAGTGGAGGTGGTACAGGCGTGCGAGTCAGCTTTCGACTTTCTGTCTCGGCAAAAGAGTTTGAAGAATCTTAAGAACCTCCAGACCCATGACCAACCCCTCCTAATTAGAACATGGCATGGACACGACATAGATCCGTGCTGTTGCGGGTTCAAACCCTGGTGCTTGCAGACTGAAGGCATCACCCTCCATGCTCCCACGCTTGCGCTGGGTGCCCGCGTGGAGAATGCGGGCGCGGTGTCAGCGGCTGCGGCCGCGTTCAGCTCATTGCTAACACGTGAGGCGAGGTGGGTTGGATTTGGAGCATCGGTTGGATTTGAAATGAGTGTCCCCACTTGCTAGTTTAATAATGTTTAATATAGGTTCATGATCAGATCATGCAATGCCGCAATATATCAGTTGCGCAACGAGTTTCACAATAAGCAAAGTAGTCGTTGTCATCGAATGCCTATATTGATACTAATGACAAAAACTAATAACATGTACATATGCTTAGCCACCACCCTGAAGATGAATTAAAGCTTTGGACCAATCAAATCATTAACAAATCAGGTGTGTCGTTCATGGTGTGTCCCTCAAGCTGAACACGCTGATTGAGACGTCTCCACCGGCCTGGAGGCCTCACGCGCACGTTTGGAGCTCTTAGAGGCGGAGAGGCAGCTAGCGAGCAGCAAAGCAAAGGCAAAGGAGATCGAAGATCAGTTGGTGCGTAGCGTGGAAGAAGACTTGGGCGACTCACAACCACACAAACTTGCTGCAGCGCTACGCGTGAAGTGTTCAAGGGATGCGGGCCTTTTGATATTGATTTGTTTGTTGACTTGTGACATTGTGCGTGCTCTGGGTCTTTTAGGCTGGTGAATCAGCACTCAAAACAGGGAGACTGATATGTGGACAGCAGAAGGGACAGTTAATGAGCCCGTATGTCTTTTTGATTTGGTGTGTGCATAGTGAAAGCTCTTGGGTTAATGGAATGGATATGATTTCATTGTTGCACAACTTAGTGAGCTGAGCTCGGTGAAGGTGCTGAGATCCCAAGTGGACCATCGTTGCAAATGTAGGGATGCTGAGACGTTGCACAACTCTTTCGTTGATTTGGGATGAGATCCTTTCTTGATGCTGCCATTCCAAAGGAGCTCGAGCAAACTACACCTGGAGCCTGCCGATGGTAAGAAAAACAAGAAGCGGTTTTGCGAACACCATTCAAGTTCGCTGGTTTTTGGGCCTTTTGGCCCCACACTACCAAGGTCTCTCAGAAGAAAGCCGCGTGATGACACCACACACGGCACCTTGGCTTTGAAATGCTTTGAATAAGCTGTAAAAGCAGTGTTCTAGGGAACAAGTGGCTGGAGACTGGTGCATGCCCAACTTGTTTGCTGTGAGGAGAAGCATCCTGCGCCAGAATGGCTCGCAAGTAAGCATTGAAGTCTAGATCATAATCATAACTTGCGTTTCGAGTTTTTTTCCCCAATTCTAACACATGTTTGAAAGCCACAAAAAGATTAAACTGACAAATTCACAACCCAACCCATAGCAGCTCTGCCCAACCAAACATCTGTGCTGGTTATATATGATTCAGGCCTTGTTGGTCTTGGAGACGGATGCGGACTATGTGCGCTTCGGCATCCCCCAGGATCGTCTCTCGCCCATCCTCCGTGTGACGTCCAATGGTGTGGAATTGCAGAGCCGCGAGGCCATCCAAACGGCGCTTCCGCCGTTGCCGGTTCCTTTGAGGCTTGGCGATGATGAGCCCGGTCCTGCTGGGTGCATGAATTTGTTGGGGGAAGCTGAGGATGGATGTGCACCCTGCTCCCAGTGCACCAGATATTACTTTTATAATGCAGTGGAAACGTTTTCCGATCCACGTCAAACACATTTATCGGAATAGCCTGCATCCAAGAACCTCGTGAGTTTGTTGTCAGAATGTTAGCTGTGCACTGTCACACCAGACACCGATTGTGAGATTACTACTACATATTACGTCCAACTATTGTATAAATGTTGCATAGCCATGCATAGCCTGCCTTTGTAATCGATTTGTTGAGCTTCTGACATGGCATGCTTACGGTATCCCGGTCTCAACTGGAAACTCAGCCGTTGAAAGCAATTCAGGCAGGATCCTTCTACTCAATGGACTTAAGTGTCCCTAACGATCTAGGAACCAAATGAATAGTGCGAGCGCTTCTTCAAGGAAGCTCCTCCCCGCCCTCAGGCGGGGGGGAGCTTGCGTGAGCTCTCCTGCGTCCAGTCAGCAGTAGCGTCCACTTGTAGGTCAAAGCTACCGTTTGTTACTAGCGTTTGCTTCTACGAACGCTACTTCTACTAGCTACCGACTCCCTAGCTAACCTATCTCACCTCTACACGGGCCCCCCCTCTAAAAGAATAAAAGCGACACCAAGGACTCCACAGGAGCTTGAAGGAGAGGACCTGGAGCTCTTCTGGAATTTCTCAAACAGCTCCGAGTGCGCGGCGGATCAAAGCGAATGCCAAATGGAGAAAGAGGAGACCGGGCGGGCCAGCTGGGCATTTGCTGGGCGTTTGTGGATTTGACTGCTGCCTCAGGGAGCTACCGTCCGACCTTATGCATTCTTTCCTCCTTAAGTTCTGTGTTTGGTGTTAGGCTGTGAGAGTTGCCGATCGGGGGTTCCTCCAGTTGACGTTTGGGAAAGAATTCTTGCAACCAATCCCATCCAATCCCCACAAATTTGGGGGTATTAATATGGTATTCTATTATATTCTCATTTTTTGCTCTTGGGCACTGTTTGGCAGCGATTTGGCTGGGCCAAATCCACATATATCAACCTCTATAGCCATGCCAGGTGGATCAATCTGACCTGATGCTTGGTCAGCCAGACCTGGCTGCCACCGGCGAAAGCGCCCGCGCGGCGGGGCGACCGGCGGCTCGGTGCAGACCAGAGGGTGTGGATCGGAGGTGGAATGGCCCCAAAGCCTTCCAGTTGGAGCAGAATGTTCATGTTTTTGCATTGTTTTGTTTTCTTCGGCAGTTTATGCAGTGGTTGTTTTGGTGGTAGTGGAAGACCATGAGAAGTTTATATGAGAAGAATAGACATAAGATGACATACTCCTTAGTGTCGAAAGAAGACCAACATTTGGGTGTCTTTCAGCCACTGGAAGCAGGGAGACCTTTGGTGCGACTGGTGACAATGCAGACCGTTGAAGCAGGGAGAATGCACTGATGAGCTGGTGAACCGTTGCGAACATGTGGTGGACTTCATGCCGAAAGTTCATTGCAAATTCCCAGAAAGATGCAAAGGAGGAGCCCGAAAGTGTTGATATGTGTTGATCGGAATCCGATCATCCTCAATACGAGGTCCTCTCACCCATTGAGACCATCAGTTGTACCCCACCCAGACGCCCATTCACTGACCCATCTATCGGCCCAAGTGGGGAACAGACGTTTCCAGGTCCTGTTCACCTGGCTGCTCTTGCTGGTGACGTCCTTCGCTGCTTGGTCAGACCCGGAAAAGGATGCGGACGAGGTGCTGGCAGAGCATCAGGCGGACTGGTGCGGGGTGAATCCCTGTTTTGGTTGCTTGTACAACGAATATAGTAATCAAACAATGGTATTATATATATAATATAGCAATCATAAGAATAAATAGAGTTGAGTACCCGTACCTATACTATTAGTATAGGGGCATGCGGCATACTATGAGTATACAGTATACTACAACAGTAACTGTAGGCTATAAATTGTCTTGCTTTAAATCTGAAAGATTCAAGACCTCCAAAGTCTTTTAGTTTAGCTTTGCTATTGGTTGATTGGTGCCATTCTCCATAATGTAGAGTCTTCAACAAAAAAGACAGACACAGGACTGGCAACTGAGCTGGGTCCTGTGTTCCTAGTGTTCCGGCGACATGGGGATCCCTGCATCACAGTGGGTTCGGGTCGGAAGGATCTTGGAACGCTTGCACCAGGAACCTCCCAAGGAGCGCTTGAGGGACACTGCAGCCGCTTGGTTTCTTGTTGAACGATTGCTCGGGCAAGGCGATTGGAGTCTTATTCTCAGTGCTTCAAGCAAAGTCTATAGGGACTGCTGAGAACTCTAGAGCAACTCCAGTTTGGTTTTGTATGACCTGCATTTCCTTCTTGAAGGATTTGAGACATGAGGTGTGTTTTCCCACCTCCCCTCTTTGTTGAGTGCTTGGTTCCTTTTTGCCACATGTGTAGCACGGTCTAGACCATGTCAGTTCCAAGGCGAGGTATGCTGGTGCTCTCTGGACCAAACGGAAAGCTGCTGAACTCCGAAGCTGGGTGGAATGTCAAGCTGAGGCCAAACGAGCTAGCTGTTTTTTGTTTTTTTCCTGATCGGGGTGAATTGAGCTGAGCGGTGGAGAATTGAATAACATTTCACCAGGGCGACTTGAAGAACTATATAATCTATAGTAATAGACCAAAACTCTTTGACTCTTTGTTACAAATGAGGTAGAAGGCCTCAGCCAGGCTTTCTAAAGGATGGACCCATGATCATGTTCACCACCACACTCACTCTGAAGCTGGCAGTTCGCAGCTTGCCCACGGAAATCTCTCCATCCTCTTAAGCACTGGAGGACTGGTCCACTGACTGCTTCTAGGGATAGAAACCCTTACTATCCACCGGTCCACTGTTCCTATAGGTCTTTTCAATCACTATCGGCTACTGAAAGTGATGCAGATCCCATGGATGGCCTGATCCGACTGCCGGGTGCCAAGCACCGGCCTGGGTCTGTCCGTCTCGACGGTTCGTGAGGAAACTACTGCGCCTCGTGGATCACCTGGGATCCCAGCAACGACTTGGCCTTTGAATATCTGAGTAAGGCAGCCATGCTACTGGGCGAAGTCGGATGCCCCCCAAAACACGGTCATTCCAGATAGGAACCGTGCAAACGTCACTCCTTTTGTAAATGGTCCTTGTGTGTGGTTTCCCGTCCAAACTCGGTTAAAAAGGATCACACACACAAAACCAGTGAATCCTACGAAGCCTCCATTGGCTGGTTGCAAGCACTCTGATGTTTCTGTTGAAAGAAATGCAAGCCAGGTTTGGCATCTTGCCTCCCTACCCTCCCCTTCACAATTGCATTGTTGCCCTCAACTGCAAAAGAACTTGATGTTCTACCTCATGGGCCATGACTTCTCCGGCTTTCATATGAGGCTCATGAGCCGGAGTGTAGGCGGTGTTGCACAAATGCAGTGAAAATATGTGAACATGTCACCAGAATGTTTCATCAGTTCCATCCCACTCACTAGCTGAGGCTTTCTGGCGACACCATGCTGTCTCTTCGAGCTGCCTCCTCCATTGCTGAGGTCTCTTTCGCTTCCTTCGCTGATCGCAGTTGTCCTAGGTCCTAGCCTAGAGTCTTGCAGGATTCTACAGGAAAAGGATTTTCACTTTGGAACCCTCAAGAAGAAAAACTTATGTTTTAGTGGTGTAATGACCTAGTCACACTACCGATACAGACACCCTTAAACAAATTCGCCCTTTGGGAGCACAGGTGGCCCCCCGCAGCTCCGAGCAGCTGCTGCGCGGCGCCTGGTTGAGCCTCTCGCTGGGCGACACCTCCGCGCTCGCGTGGGCTCGGCGCTTCGGGCTGCGCTCGCTCGAGGAACGCGAGGCACGCGGGACACCAACATCCAACAGGAATCCAGCACCTATTGTTCCTTTTAGGCGAAGTGATGTTTTTGTTTTCATGTTGTTTTTGGTGTCACGTCCATACGGGCCCCCGTGAATTTGCACGTTTTTGAAGCAGACAGGGTTCCAACAGTCATTCAGGGGGGGGTGGGGGGGGGCAAATGACGTCGGTTCGTGTTTGGGTCGTTTCGTGTTTTCGTCGGTTTGTGGTTTCGTCGAGTCGCGTGTTCGTCGGGCGTTGTTTTTTTGAGTTTGGCAGCCGGATGTCAGACAAGAGCGCGCCGCAGACACCATCTCGGGCCGCTGGTTCGCGGGAGGACCCGATTCTCGGTGTAAAAGTAAAAGACTTTTTATGTGCTGAGATGATAGTGACCTCAGGCTTGCTTCGGAATGTTCGAGCAGGTTCTTTGTTGTGTGCAGATGGTGCACTTGCATGGTCGGCCGCACCCTTCGAAGCGCTTGACTGTGAAACACGTCAAGCATGTGAAGAGTCAATGGACTAAGAGAGGGCCAAGGTCAACTCGAAGCAGATGATCTTTGGCACCCAGCAGCTAGATCGGCTGTGGTCGTGGATGAAGAAATTCATCCCGCCACAAAGCAAGAACCGGTCCAAAGGATTGGTGAACCCACGGCTGTGGAATAGAGTATATCAGTGGGCGTATCGCCACCACACACGCAACACCTGAGAGCGTGCCGACCACGGGTGAAAAAAGGCCGCTACAATTTTTTCGACTTTTGAAGCGCTCGAAGCGCCACTTCGGATGGGCCTGCCCACACGAAGACGGGGGGCCCATACGGACGTGAAACATCGTGAAACCTTGTTTTTGGTATCTATGATAGTTGGAACCCATACCAGATAGCGGGGTCCAGCCAAATTTTGATTTGCTGGTGCGCGCTGGAGGGTGTGAAGGTCATGGTGTTCCTTGGAAATTTTGAGGCAGGTACAGGGCTTCAGCACCCCTCCTTTTAAAACTCGGCCAGAAAAATGGAGATGGATGGCGCCACTAATTGATTTGCAAGGCATCCTCGTCTTCGAAATTTGGCACCTGGCAGGACAATGCCAACACGTATCGTGCTTTGGCAATGGCCTACTGGCAGGACGTTCAGCTTGCCGGAACTGGGTTGTCAATCCTTGCCTCCATACTTGATCTTGGTCCTCAGATTTTTGAGTTCCAAAAATGGACATGTCTACCTTACAGCTCAAAAACCATGGATTTGAATGCGTTTGATATGACTTTAGGAGGATTCCGGGCCCTCCTGGCCCACCCGGCCCCGGCTTTGATGGACTCACGGAGAAAGGGAGGGATGTTGGACACTGCTGTTGATGGTTCACGGCAGGTGGTGAAGCCACAGCCCGTTTAGAAGAGGACGCAGAAGACCCCAGGTCAACTTGGCTTCCAAGTTGATAACATGAAAGTGTAGTGAATCCCTTTATCAAATTCCTTTTGGTGGTAGATGTGGACATCCAAATCCACAAGACATGCTTGGCAGCAAAAACTTAGTTGGGATTCTGTGGATGGTGCAAGCGGTTTCTTTTGTTCCACTCCCTTTTTTGTTTGAGACCCAGCAGTTTCATAGGAACTTCGTTCCTGTAGGAGCAAGACTTCAAGTCAGCGGCTCAGACCTATGAGAGGGCCTTGGGCATCGGGTTCCACAGCCGCTATGGCGATGTGAAGCGCGTGCTGCGGGAGGAGGCGGCACTGATGCTGCGGAGCCTTCGTGCCATGGCAGGGTTGGTCTGTGGGGAGTGGAGCGCTAAACTAACTTATTTATCAAACGATATCAAATGAGTTAGCGACAAAACTATGCACATAAGAATGCGCATACAGTTTAGAAGGGACATTGGACAATCAAGCCAAATTGTTGTCAGGGTACCATTTAGAATCTAGTTTAAAGATGTGCCTCAGTTACAGAATTAGGTTTGTCCAACGCTCAATTGAACAACGGCTTGATTTGAGTTTATTCCGCTGAAAGAACCTCAGATGGTGTTTGTTGTTGACTTCTGTGGGGTGATTAAAGCTCCAACTAGTAATATATTGCATGTATAATGTATAATGATAATGATCAAACCAAATCATAATATAAGGGGCCCCGAGATTGAACACACTGAGCTACTTCTTGTGCTTTGAGGGTCGCAAACTTGCTTGCTCAGGGTTTGTAAACTACAAAGCCTCTGGTGAAAGTCTTAAAGCGATGTGTCGCAAAGGAATCCAATCTCAAAAAGTGCCCCTGAGATGTTCAAGTGGATGGTAACAGTGGACTTCAGACCCATCTGCCCTATGCACTTGGTAACTTCGTCGGAGTCCAAGGAGTCGGTGCCACTAAGGCGACTCTTCACCAGCTGTTTACAATGACTTGCGCAACCATGAGTTGAAGTCGGTGTCGCCCAGAGAGGGTGAAGGCCGCAGAAAGTTGGAGGGGACGGAGGGATGGCTTGGCGAGGAGAGAAACGGAGGGATGGGACAAGGCTAAATGAAGAACGACCCAAAAACCCAGGTACTGAGCTGGTCTTATCGCTATTAGGTTGGAGGCCATTGCTCTTAGGTTGGAGGCCATCGCATCTAGGGTTGAGGCCATCGCTCTTAGGTTCCTTTTGCTAATCACAGTGTAGTGGATCAAAGAATCCAAAACTCTCCACTATTGAGAGTTCCACGTCAATTTCCTTTTTGGGGGCAGCAACATTTCTTGCAATTTCTGTTTTTGGTCTGAAGCAAGGAAACGCACAGGTCCCGAGGTAAGTGGACAGAAACACTATCAAACAAAGAAGAGCGACAATGGCTGAATGAACCTGGCCATTGCTTGCGCCCGGCTACAAGAAGACTCCGCTCTAAATCGTTCTGAGATAAAAAGTGACCATAAGAAATAGATAGAAATAGGTAGAGCTAGCAAATGAATGTTCATAAATGTATATAGATATTTATTGTTTTTCTATGTATATATGTGTTTTCTTTGCAGTGTGCTATTAAATATGTTTCTAGACTTTTGTCATTTCTGCTTCTCGCCAGGCTCGTGACTTGAGATGAGAAATGATCGCAAAGTGAGAAATTATGTGTTCAACACAATTGCAAAGATCGCCCAAGTCGGCCGCTGAGAAAGGACACCCGCCCAAAAGCTGTTTGTATTTGCAAGTAACACACTCATTGTTTAGGAAAAGACACATATTGAAACAATATACGCCACGCAATAAGAACTCCTCACGTGACGGTGAAAGCGTGCTAGCACAGATCAGTGCGCCACAAGCAGTAAGAAGACGACAATCGTCATGTCACTCACTGTAAGAAACCGCCGCTTGACAAACCCCACCCTGTCACTTGCAGTGGAAACGTCCACTTTGACTAGTCCCATCCAATTTCACTGCCTGCAAAAACATGAGAGAACACATGCCCACGCATCATGCGCACGCATTTGCCGCCCCTAACCTGCCGCATCTGCCGCCCCTGACCTGCCCAAGCTTTCCGCAGCACCGAAGGGACGACCTTCGGCTACGCCAGGGCGACGATGTGGACCTTCACCGCAACCTGGACCTGTTTGACCACCTTCACTTGCTGTGGTCCTTGGTGGCTTTTCCTTGGTGGTGGCTTGTACATCAAGAAGGAACCGGAAGATTCTATAACCTCGAAGCTTCCTTGGGCTAGAAAAGCGCCAAGAAGCTCGAATTCTGGTGGACGTGGCCGGTTCCTTCTTGATGTGGAAAGTTATCCTCCGGTTCCTTCTTGATGTAGAGAAGATATCCGCCTAGGGCTGGTCCCTTCTTGATGCAGAAAAGATAGTGTTTTTGTAGCGTCAAGCATTGCTAAAAATGGGGCGGCTAGCCCAACCTAAGCCCAGCCAAAACGCTGCTAAAAATGGGCTAGCCATGGCTAGCCCATAACCAAGAGGAAGGAAGCTACCTAGCGCCAAGAAGCTTTCTCGAAGTCATTGCCTGCCACCAGAATTCGCACAGGCTGTGCAAGTTCGAAAAAGCCTTGGCGCTAGGTAGCTTCCTCCCTCTTGGTTATAGAATCCTCCGGTTCCTTCTTGATGTAGAAAAGTTGCCGGGGCTAGTGCAACATTCTCACAAGTGCTAGAACCTGTGCAAAAGATTCTTACACGTGCTAAAGCCAGCGCAGGACTCTTACAAGTGCTAAAGCCTGTGCAATAGTTTTACAAGCGCTTGAATATACAAGCGCTTAAAGCCTGAGCTAGACTCTTGCAAATGCAGTCGTAGATGTGTCAGCCTTTAGTAAGAGCCCTTTCGGCCAAGTCTTTCGGGAAAAATATTTAGAGATAGATTGATAGATTGATAGATAGATCAATAGACAGATAGATAGATATAGATAGATAGATAGAGATGGATGGATAGATAAATAGATCGGAGACATCACTAGGTACAGACATTTAGAAAGATAGCTACATGGATCTATTAGGACTAAGTTAGCCATAAAATTCTGAATACTATACAATAGCAATAAAGGTATTCATAAATATAGGTGCTAGTATGAGTAGTAGTAAATTTGATTGTCGCTGAGCTGAGAGTTAGGCTGCTAGATGCAGTTTTAATTCCTTTGCTCTCTTAAAGTGAGCTAACCCGCTTTTGGACTTCTGTTTGACCAGTCGAAGAGTTGAGTGGAGCCTAAAATCCTTTGTAAAGCAATGGTTGTTCGGGATACAGCCCATTAGATTAATAGTTGGATGCATGAAGACTCCCTGAATGTCCAGTCTCCATGCAACCAAGACATACCAGTTAGTGAAGAGGAGGAAAGGAACCATTCTCAGGAAGACAACTCTCACATCAACATGAGTTCCAGAATCATTCCAAGCCATAGCAGGGGAGAGATGTGCAGAACCCTGTGAAGATTGTGGAGAATATCCGCTTGGATGCGCCATGCAGTGCCTCCGCTGCGCTGGCGCTCGCCTCCACCTACGCCCTGCGCTACGGCAGCTCGGCCGCCCGTGCCGCAGTGCTGCGCGAGGCGCGCCAAGCCGCCAAAGCCAGGGCGGCGCCCAAAGGGCATGGATGTTGCGCGGAGAGTTTGGAGCTGCAGCTCCCGGAGCTGCCCAGTGCTGGGCTGAAGGTGAAGTGGCCGGCGAAGTTGTCGGTGAAGCGTGGGGAGGTCATCGAGATCTTGGTGGTCAACGACACCGGATCCAAAGCGGGATCGCTCAACGGATCCAATGTGCTCGTGTGGCTGGTCTCCGACAGCGCACTTTTCGGCGGACATGGCCACGCCTGAGCGCGCGCGTGGGGCCGCTGGAACCGGGGAAATGGACGGCGCATGTGCTGGGCATCACCTTGCAAGAGAGGCGTCACTTGGTTTTGAAGGGCGATTAGATGTGAAGCTTGATTTTCCTGAACTGTGTGAACCCCCTAGCGTAGGGAAGATGTCGAAGATGTGTTATTTCTTCCCGGTTGCTAAATGAGCAAATCCAAGGTCAGCCCAAAGTCCGTCCCTTCATCTTCACTGAAGCTCCAGGTAGCCCACGGCAGTTGCAAGTCACACCAGCAGCGCCGCAGCCACTACCACGACGCCGCTGTAAGTTAGGAGTGGACCCCTTGGAAGGACGCTGGGTGCGCACCAGCAGTGGCTTGTGCAGTTGGGGGTGTCCTCGTGATGGATGGACCCTGGTCTCTAAGACCTGCCACTGGCATGTCCACACTCCTGCTGAAGTTCATGAGAAGGTCAATGATAAAGTTTTCAAAGGGTCAGCAAGCAGCCACACGTCACCAGCCAGTCCAAGCCACCTCCCTTGTGGCTCGTGATTGTAGGGAACTCAGTGATGAGAGGAACCCTGCAAGCCTTGGTGGACCAACTGGTGCCTGAAGCCTGGCAAAGCTTCGTGGGTGTTCAGAACGTGCCGGGCTTGGGGACCAACGTCAAATGTTGGGGATGGTTAGACTTCCAAGTTGGCAACTTGCGTCTCTCATTTCAAGACTATCGCATTTGGCTTTACCCGGAGGAAATCAAGCTTGTGGCCTTTGAACGCTTGAAGCGCCTGATTTGGGAAGGGCCTGATCTCTTGGTTATCCAGCACGATGGGCCTGACGTGACCCACGGCCAACCACCCTTCGTGTATCAGCCTTTACTCGCTTCTGCGCTACCGGCATATTTCAAGAAGAAGAAGACAAGGAAAATCATTTTTGCGCTCCCGAAACTCTCCCCCTTCATTCTCCCGCTGTGCAACCCTCAATGCTCTGACCGACAACGGCCGCAGATCTGGAATCAAAGCATTGAAGAGCTCTTGGCGAAGCTTCCACAAGATTTGAGGTTGGGGATGCATTGGGGGTCAATCGGATAGAACCACTGATTGATATTATATCCATTGTCAGTCCAGTCTCTACAGTCAATGATTCCCCCACCATTGCAACCGTATATATATATAGAGCCATAGAGCTTTCCATCCTCAGGAGCTCGGCGATGGGCCGGGTCCTGGCGGTGGACGAGGCCTTCGTTTGCACGCCGCTCTTTCTGGATGGCGAGACCGATATTGCGCAGCGTCTTGCCTCCATGCACTGGCACCGCTACGATCGCAGCGCGGGCCCTGGGCGCAAGGTCTTCGGCGCGGCAGCGGACGCCACGGGGCACTGGTACCTCACCGAGCTATTGACCATGGCAGGGCCACGTAGCGCAGGAAGTGTCACAGGTGTCGGGAATCTGAGCGCCAAAGCTTGCGCCCAGTGCCCACAAAAAATATGCTGCCCCTATCAGCCCGGGCCTGTGAGGCCCGATCATTCCCTGTCGGTGGTACATGACATGCCCCAGATAAAGTCTTGGGCCAACTTGACCATGCAAAGTTGTGGTCAGTTGATTTAGTTGACCAGTGTTCTACGCTATACGCAAAAACCTGAGGATTCACACTCCAACACAAGAAGTTCCAAAGGCAAAGTTCAAATAGTCCCCTGATTCACAAGGTAAGTTCAAGTTCAAACTGAAACGCGAAAACCACGGAAAATCGACGTGTTCATGGATTGCTGGTGATGATTCTTTTTTCCTGATGTGCAGGATGAGTCTGTAGTGTTGCAACAGACTTGGACTCAACTGCTCAACCCTTGTATTGGTGATCGGGATGCGTTGGAAACTCTTAGGACTACAAGGATATGGTGATGAACCCCCAAAACCAACACTCCCACTACCTTTGAGGTCAGTTCTGAAAAAAACAGAACACGCAGAAGATCACCTGGCTTCACCACTAGGCTCCCATTGCGCACAAGCTTGTGAAAAGGGGGGGGCCGTGCTTCCATGCAGGCGATTGATCAGCAAACCATGAAATCAAGTCCAATCCTCATCGACCGTTGGATGATGTTGGATGAATCGAAAGAATCGGCTGTCACCCGCTTCACGGAACGTGCAAATGGACCCTTTGTAAAGGCAAGTACGAGGTCAATCTTTGAGGGCTGTCATGCGCGCAGGATTCCTCTCGAGGGGAGTGCACGCGCACCACGCACACTTCGATAAAGAGTTCATTCGAGTGGTCTTCAGTAAAGCAAGGCACTTGGCTTGATGGAACCGCAAGGTGAAAGATCAGCAATAGGTATTGTTTCAAGAACTGGTCGATCGGCTGCACGCGGCGCGACGAAGAAGCGATTCAGCGGCTGCAGTTCAGGGGAAAGGATCATGAATCACCATGGAAACAAAAACACAGCGGCAGGGTGTACCAGTGGAGTCCTTGTGTTCAAGGCAGGTACACCAGGTTGATCAGACCTGGCTTCCACTATCACGCAAAGCTTCGTTGGCATTCGTTTTGCGTGATAGCCGCATGCCCCTTGTTCGAATCAGATCAGAACCGAGTGGGACCCTTGGGTACAGGGGTCCCACAGTGCAACACATGTTCTTTGCGGTTCCCCACGTTCCCGAAATCAATTGTTCATTATGGGTCCTCCATCGATTGGCTCAGGGATCACTCTGTGGATTGCCCTCTCGTGGCTCACGGATGCAAATGATGTGGACCTTCACGTCATTGATCCCAATGGAGAGGACGGGTCGGATGGGCGTGAGATAGTTGTTTGGGCTTACAATCAAGATACGGGGATCATCATCCAAACATCCCATGTGATTCCTCCTTTGTTGACGAATGTATTTTTTGGACGCTAATGACCAGCACAAGCAAATGCCACCTCGAAGGTTGATTGCAAGTGTTCTTCCCGGAGGGCCAGAAAGCAGCCCAGAACTACTGTATATTATACTGTAAATCGATTGAACATTGTTAGATCACAAGAATAGGGGCTACACTTTGCTAGCATGAAACTATTTGTTCAATGGGCCTAAGGGTGCAAGCAAGTAGGATCAAGTAGGACTTATATTTTTGGGGAGCAAGTCCCAAGTTTAGAATTTGATTGATTTTGTGAGTCGCCACGGCCACGGGCATTGGTCGTGCCCGCATTTTTCTAACCGAACTGGTTGGGTTCGGGCCACCCACTTGCGGTGCAGTGGAAAACGAGTATGGCAGTATGGCCAGTCAGTATGGCTGTATGGCTCACAACAGACTCTAAAGGACCTAGGGTACCACAGTCTATTCATAACATCGAATCATGTTTTTAATCCTGTGATCTATTTTTTGACCCGGTCATCGGGCGAATCGGGTGAACTGTATACAAATACAATGAGTTTCTTGGAACGGTGGTGCCACCTTTGTCCAGTCGGATGCATCGGTATGAAGGAAGTCTCCTGATTTGTTTACAAGACACAGCGATCTTGCTTACACTGAATGCACTTGTCATCCGACCACGCAGGTAGATTCAATGTGTCACTTTTTATGGTCTACCGATGTCTATCGTCATTGAATGAATTTCCTCAAATCACGTTCGCAGCAAACATACCCTGCTCCGCCAACATACGGTTTTTCCAGTGAGAGACCGCTGCAGGAATGCTATTACGGCCACAGAGAGACCGCCCTGGGCCTCCGTTTGTACAGCGATCAAACGCAAGGGCTTGGCCCCGAAGTGGTCTCGTTGTCGGCTCAACGTCCTGGGACATATCGGGCGCCTCGGCTTTGTGGTGCAGCAAGCCATTACAATAGACGAATTTGCTCCTCTTGCGGCCAGAGAGACTCAGAGAGGATCGGGAGGATAATAATAGCATCCTCAACCCAAGCCGCCAATCCGTCAACTTGAGGTTGTTGGTCCTGGTTAGGGGCCTTAAAACCACTCTGCAAAGACGGGGTAGGTTGGGGGGTCTATGTGGAAAACTCCTCTCGTTCCTGGTCTATCAATCATCATGTTTGGGGTCATTATAATGCTTCTATCGCCCACGCGACCGACGAGGACTCCTACCAACACCTCTCCCATTGGCACCGTCTTCGATGCCGAAACCCCACCCAGGTCGGGGTGAAATACTTCAGTTCGGGCGCCATGGGTGCCTCGCGCGGGACTGTGCTGATCCGCCAGATGAAGGCAGGCATCCCCGTAGAGGACTGAACTCACGGAATCGGATGCCGAAAGCATGAGAAAGTCTCATTTGGAAAGAATCCCAAGCATCGAAATCATTTTGATTCACTCTGTAACCATCAAAACTCAATTTCTATAAATCTACAATTGCAGTAGTGGATGTTATTTGCTTGGTGATTGTTGGATTGCAAACGAAGCAACGGAGACCAGAAACATTGTGTGAATCTGGAAGGCTTCCCCAAGAACTTGGAGGAATGTTGGACATTGCTCTTAGTCCACATCCTGGTGAAGGAATCAACACAGGGGCACTTGCCAATTTGGGTCAAAACATAGCGAAGACCCACGAACATGTTTGATTTGATGGTGGACCTTGTGACGAACAAAGACACAACCAGCAGAAACCCACAGACCTCATCCAGGAGCCCATCGTTGAAGTCTTCACCCTGCCTGCCGGCTACTCGGAGGCGGGCGAGGTTCGACGACGGATCCACCGTGGAGCCACTGCAGTGGGTGGCAGACGATCCTTACGCCGTGACGTCACCACTCACCACGTCGATTGGTCGCCCAAAGCCTAAAGGGTCCATTCGACTCCTCTAGGCAGTGAGCAAAAAATGCCAGCTTGCCAGCTGTTGGGACAGCAGTACTGCATTCAATTTCAATGATATAAAATATCATAATTCTGGTAAAGCTGGCTCACTGCGAATAATAGATCAAGGCTTTGAATTTGTATCAACTTTGAACACATCATTTATGTATTCTGCATTATGTGTGTGATCCGGACAAATGACGCAGGTCAATTTGGGCAAGTCGAGCTCCGTCATGATTGGTGTAAACATGTTCAACCTGAATGGGCCTAACAAGTTGCCACGGCAGACCCGATCGGGACAATCAGATCACGTGAATATGTCAACATTTTGGGGTAGTTATCTCAGACAGCACCTCAACGACCAATTCAAGCGATTCAACCCCAACATGAAAAGGCCTTTACTTGGCCTGGGGGTCTCTTGTTTGAGGGTCGCGAATCATCTTCAATCAGCTAGACACATCCAGTTTCTAAACTTGCATGTTTGATTCCATCACCTGCCGGACCGATGCGTCCAGGTCCTGCCGATCATTGATGTGACGATGAAGTAGTCGACACCACGTCGTTCTGAACGCTGAACCACGAACTCCGCCGCTGTGGCTGTGTCTTAGCACCTTGAAAAACATATGCTTGAGCTGCCGGAGCAGAGCTGTACAAGACTTATTCAGCCGAAGTGACCGCGCACTGTGTTGTTCTATTGATAGCACTAATGTGTATTATTGGGCTCACACAAGACAGTGACGCTGGATACTTCGAGGATGAACAGTGGTAGTGAAGATCCACTGCCTTGGACCCGCACTACGATTCTTGTCGACGATTAGTTTAGGATGCCACAAGAAGCACCGCCGATATCTCATGGCCATTCCATTAAATTCTGTCCACAAGTTGTTTTGAAGATGCCTCATGGGGGCTTTGGACAATATAGTTGCGACAAGTGGTGGGCTACAGAAGAGTTTTGTTTATGTGTTTTTTTGTTTAAACTTCTTTTGACTTCCCTGCCCGGCAGGCTTGAACGACTTCCGAATAGAGAGATCCATATAGGCTCTAGAGACTAGAGGCGTCTCGACTGCACGGGCCCCCCCCACGGGGAAAAGATGTTCCACCCACATTTGACCTGGGAGCTGGTCTTACTTATTGTAAAAACGGTTGATGGGCCCAGTGGGGTTTCGTTTGTTTCCTGGAAGTAAGGATTCTAAATGTGAAGAGACGCACAAATGGAATAGCCCCTAGTAGAATTCTTGTTCCTAGTAGTGATGCCCTTTGTTCCTAGTAGCTTCTTACTCCTAGTAGCGATGCAAGGACCCCCAAGTAGCTTCTTGGACACGAATCTCACTTTGAGATCTTGATATCTTAAATCTTGGAACGGCCATGCTGAAAGGGGCTGGTAGGGGGCTCGGTGAGGGGCCAGCGACAAAGAGCGGCGCAGACCCTTCGGCCGCTGAGCTGAGAGAAAGAAGATCGTACGGCTTGAACGGGCTCGCATCTCGGACACCACAAAACCATACAACACCTGTAAGGAAAGATGTGAAGTCCTTGTCATGCAGAGTTTGAAGCAAGGGTCTGATACTTGCCCCTGGTGGATTAAGTTTAAGAAAGGCACACAAGACATCACAAGACACAACTATCCAGCCACAGCAGTTTCTAGGCTCCTCAAGATGCTGGGCAAGGGAGACCGGGCACATTCCGTCCCAGCTGAATTGCACAGGTGCATCCGTCGAAAGACAGCATCAGCGGCAGGCGCGACTGCAGTGGACAGTAGAAGGTCATGTGACTACTGCTGATTCCAAAAGGTCAGTGGCTTGGAGCCATGATATGTCGATGCAGCTGGATGATTTGGTTGAAATCCA